ATGGCCAGCAGGGGAGGGCAGTTGAGGGTGATCAGGCCAGCAGGGGAGGGCAGTTGTTGGCGGGGGGGGGGGGGACCACACCAGCAGGGGAGAGCAGTTAGGGGTAATGAGGCTGGCAGGGGAGGGAAGTTAGGGGTGACTGGATTGGCAGGGGAGGGCAGTTTGAGTGGACTAGGCCTGCAGGGGAGGGCAGTTGGAGAAGACAGCCCTGCAGGGGAGGGCAGTTGGGGTGACCAGGCCTGCAGGGGGAGGGCAGTTAGGAATGACCAGGTTGGCAGGGGAGCAGTTGGGCATCAATCAGACTGGCAGGGGAGTGGTTACAGGGTGATAAGTCTGGCAGGCAGAAGCAGTTAGGGGCAATCAGGAAGGCAGGCAGGTGAGCAGTTGGGAGCCAGCAGTCCTGGATTGTAACAGAGATGTCTGAGTGCCAAGTCAGACATCCCTCAAGGGGTCCCAGATTGGAGAAGTTGCAGGTTGCGCTGAGGGACACACATCTCTATGCATGAATTTTGTGCACAGGGCTCTAGTCTATATAATAAGTCCAGTGACCGTTATAGCAGAATGACAAGTCGCTATGATGCACACTGACCACAGGGGGCAGACACTCAATGCAGGAGCTGCCCTCTGGTGATCAGTGGGCTCCTAGAGCTGGAGTGCTGCTCAGCCAGAAGCTGGACTCACGGCTGGTGAATGCAGGGGCAGTGGTTGGAGCCTCTCTTGCTTCCACAGCAGTGTTAAGTAGTGGTGAGTCAAGCTGTAAGGAGCAAGCAGGTGGGAAGTTAGGAGTGAGGGGTCCTGGATTCTGAGAGGGCGCAGACTGGGCTGAGGGACCCCCTGCTCCCTGCCATGAATTTTGTGCATTGGGCCTCTAATATGCATATAAAATCTTTAATTAATCTCTTTCTGTTCCCCCTCTTCCCTTCCCTCTGAAATTTGTCAATCTGTTTCATATTTCCATGCCTCTGGTTCTATTTTATTTATCAGTTTATTCTATTCATTAGATTCCTTGTTCATTTATTCTGATTTTTAGGTTCAACTGTTGATAGACATTTATTGCCATTTTATTGTTCATATTTTTATATTTTATTTCTTTTTTAAAATGTATTATATATTTGTGTGTGTGTGTGTGTGTGTGTGTGTGTGTGTATACGTATACACATATATGTATTAATTGATTTTAGAGAGGAAGGAAGAGGGAGGAAGAGAGAGAGAGATTGCACATCCCCCACTGGGGATTAAGCCCACAACCTGGGCAAGTGCCCTTGGCCAGAATTGAACCCAGGATCCCTTCAGTTCACAGATCAATACTCTATCCACTAAGCCAAACCAGCTAGGATTAGTTCTTCTTCTTAAAAAAGACCCTTTAACATTTCATGTATTACTGGTTTGGTGGTGATGAACTTCTTACTTTTTCCTTTTCTGACCTTCAATTCTGAATGATAGCTTTGAGGGTAGAGTAATCTTTTTTTTTTTTTTTTAATATATATATTTTATTGATTTTTTTGTTTTTTTAACAGAGAGGAAGGGAAAGAGATAGAGAGCTAGAAATATCGATGAGAGAGAAACATTGACCAGCTGCCTCTTGCACACCCCTACTGGGGATATGCCTGCAACCAAGGTATAATACATGCCCTTGACCAGAATCGAACCCGGGACCCTTCAGTCCTCAAGCCGATGCTCTATCCATTGAGCCAAACCGGTCTCGGCTTCTCTTGCTGTTTTTAAGATTCTCTCTTTGTCTTTAACCCTTTGCACTTTAAGTATGATGTATCTTGGTGAGGGCCTCTTTAAGTTCCTCTTATTTGGGACTTACTGTGCTTCCTGGACTTGTATGTCTATTTTTTTTTTTTTTAAACTAGATAAGGGGAGTTTTCTGTCATTATTTTTTCAAAGAGGTTTTAATGCCTCTCTTCTCCCAGAACTCCCAAGATGCAAAAGTCAACCCAGAAGCACCTTACACTATCTTCATATTTTTGGATTCTTTTGTGTGTGTGTGTGTGTGTGTGTGTGTGTGTGTGTGTGTTCTGATTGGGTATTTTTTGCTTCTTTATATTCCAAATTCTTGATTCTTTCAAATTCAGCATCCTTTACTCTACTGTTGATCCCCTATAAATATTTTCTTTTCTTTTTTTTTTAAGTTTTTATTTATTTTGAAGAGAGGTAGGGAGGTGAAGAGAGGGATAGAAACATCAATGATGAGAGACAATAATTGATCAGCTGCCTCCTGCATACCCCCACTGGAGACCGAGCCTGCAATTTGTGCATGTGCCCTGACCAGGAATTGAACCATGACCTCCTGGTTCATGGATCAACACTCAGCAACTAACCAACACCAGCTGGGACTCTGTAAATTATTCTTTATTTCAGATAATATCAATATATGATCCGTTTCTGACTGATCCTATTTATGTCATTGATATTCTTGCTAATTTTCTTGAAATTCTTACTAAGTTCCTTGAAGTTCTCATTCAGTTCCATAATCATCCTTGTAACTATGGTTTTAACACTCTGTATCCAGTAGTTTTCTTACTTCCATTTTATTTAGTTCTTTTTCTGGAGATTTTGGTTTTTTTTTTGTTTTTTCATTTGTGGCATGTTTCTTTGTCTCCCCATTTTGGCTGCTTTCCTGTGTTTGTTTCTATGTATTAGATAGATCTGTTATGTCTCCCAGATTTGGTAGAGTCACCTTATTTCCCTGAAAATAAGACATCCTCCGAAAATAAGACCTACTTACAGGTTTCCTTCTGAGTGAAATATAAGGCATCCCCCCGAAAATAAGGCCTCCCCTAGGCTAAACATGAGAGATTTGGTCCACTGATTCTGAAAGAAATGAAGTCACAAGAAATTCACCAGGAAATTCAGGAATTGGATTGTTATGATGATGTTCCAGAAGATGATGACATGATTGTCATTGAATAAATGAGTAAATTCTTGAAACTGTAGGATTCACAGTTTGTCTGCTTTGTGTTGACAACTACTGTACTACCGTACCATATAAAGGTAATAAATTTCCTTTGTTTTCATTTAACAATAAATGTGTACCGTATTCTTCTTCATGGAAAAATAAGACATCCCCTGAAAATAAGACCTAGCGCATCGTTGGGAGCAAAAATTAATATAAGACACTGTCTTATTTTCGGGGAAACAGGGTAGTAGGTATCATGAAGGGCCCAGTGTCTCATCTTCCCCAGTTACCTGAGCTGGGCACTCCAGTTGCACCTCTGTGTAAGCTGTATGCACGGTCCTATTGTAGTTGAGTCTTGATTTATTCTACTGGGTAGAATAGACACCCCCACCCCCGCAACCTCCCAGGCCAGTTGGTTGTAAGGATTGGCTGTGACTACAACTGAAGTATTGCTGTTGTGCAGGAGCTCACCCTGTGGAACAGGACTTCTTTTCGTGGAGCTCTGGTGCTCACTGAGTCCAACCCTTGAGTGTGGCACTTGTGGAGGTGGTGGGGTGTAATTCAGCATGGTCAAAGCTGACCACTGGATGTGGAGCCTTCCAGGATGTTCAAAGTGAGCCTCTCCCTGTGCCCTGCTCAGGGACACCCAGCATGAGCTACAAAGCTATCTGTAGATGGTTGCTACTTGTGTTGAGCTCAGAGGTGCCCAGGAGAGGCCAAGTTGCTACTAGTTCCAGGCCTGGGGCCGCTTATTGAGAGGTATGAGACAGGCTGAGGCCAGCTGATAGCTGTTTGAGATATTTTAGAAAATTCCAAAGCATGAGGCAATAGAGGCCAGTTGTATGGGAAAAGCCACTGGAAATGATGTGATAAGCCTGCTAGCAGGGTCTCAGGGAATCACAAGGTTGATGGAGATTCAGATATGATGCAGCCTGTCAGCTCAGTGGCAGGGAGGGTTCAACAAAGGAACACTAGCATTTGCCAGAACTTCTGTCTGGGAGAAGCCTACCCCTTTAGCTCTTGCCCTGATTCCAGACAAAGTAGTTCCTCCCTGAATGTGCCAAGGTCCTTTCAAGTTTGTCTATTGCTGGAGCTCAGAGGGAGTGAATTCGAGTAAGTCCTTTAGGAATGGCCTGGGACTCCAGCAGCCTCTGTGTTCCTCAGCCACAATCCTCACTGGTTTTTACATCTAGAAGTTGTGGGGCCTTCTCTTCCCAACACTGGAACCCTGGACTGGGGCCTGGTATGGGGCAGGGAGCCCTTGTTACTCAGGGAAACCTCCATAGCCAAGATATCCCTCTGATTTTAAACTGCCACATGTGGATGTGGGACCAGCTGGTTCTGCAATTCTACCCCATGTGTCTGCCCCTCCTACCAGTCTTGATGTGCTTCATCTTGCACGTATTTATTTATTAATTTGTAGATGTAAATACACCACTTCAACACACCATTATGGAAGGTCTAAAAAATGGAATTGTGAAATTCAACTTATTTTTTCTCTTTTTTATTATTTATTTATTAGGTTTTTTTTATGTAACTTTATTATTGAAAGCATTACAGATGTCTCCTTTGTGTGTGTGTTTTCACCCCATTGACCTCCTCTTCCCAACACCTGCCTCTCCCAAGCCTTCACCACAGTATTGTCTGTGTCCATGGGCTGTGCATATATACACATAAGTTCCCCAGTTAATCTTTGCCCCTCCCCCACCTTCCCTCTGAAATTCATCAGTATGTTCCATGGTTCTATGTCTCTGGATCTATTTTGTTAGAACTTATTGGGGTGACATTGGTTAATAAATGTATATAGGTTTCAAGTGCACAATTATATAATACATCATCTCTATATTGCATTGTGTGTTCACCACCGCAAGTAAAGTCTCCTTCCTTCACCATTTTTACCCCTCTTTTACCCTCTTTTAACCTCCCCACTCTTTCCCTCTGGTAATCACCATACTGTAGTCATGATTTTTTAAAAATGTATTTTTATTTATTACAGAGAGGAAGGGAGAGGAAGAGAGAGATAGAAACATCAATGATGAAAGAGAATCACTGATCAGCTGCCTTCTGCATGCCCCCCTACTGGGGATGGAGCCTGCAACCTGGACATGCGCCCTGACCAGGAATCAAACCATGACTTCCTGGTTCACAGGTCAGGGTTCAACCACTGAGCCATGCCAGCTGGGTTGTAGTCATGATTTTTAAAATTTTAATTTGAAACTCTTTATAGGTGCTTCAATACATTTTCTCCATTCCATAGAACCAGAGCTTCTACTCGGGTTAAGAGCATGGTTGCTGTTGAAGACAAGATCCTGCAGTCTTTCAGTTTCACCCTTGAGTTAGAAGAGCTTGTCTCAGATCAATAGGAGGCCAAGAATGGTGGGTACCATGACCATGAGCCACATTGGAATCCAAGCTACTCCAGAGGATCGGGCTGAAAAGGCAAGAAAACCCCAAATACTTAGGTGTATGATTATTGCATTGGAAAAAAGTGGCGGTGTGGACATTGTTGTGGGAGCAGGAAAGTGTATTTCCTCCCTGAATCCAGTATCATTGTGCCTGAGATATCCTCACCCCAGACTGGCTCAGTCTCCCCAGATTAAAATATAAAGAGTGCAGAAACCCATTAACAATTACTGGCTCAGCTGAGTCCTGTGCTTGCATGTCTGTGGGCCTGGGAAAGAATCACTTTAGCATTGCGTAAGGCAGAGCTCCAGGTATAGACAGATCATCATTTAATGCTATGCACAGATGACCTTAGGAAACGAAGGACTACTTCCTGTTTCTCCACCTCATTAATCATTTGTACCAACTAGAAGGAAAAAAAATCGGGAATGGAGAGACAGGGAGAGAAGGGAATTAAAACAGAGGAGAGGAGACTGCCAGGAGGAGAAGGAAGGAAGTACAAAATAATAAGGGAAAGACAATGAGTGATAAAATAGGGAAGGGAGATGCTTTTCTAGGATAATTTGGGCAGCTAAAAAGTGACAAGATAGGTTTAACCCTTCCAAAAAATTTATGTATTATTGTTTCCATCCTTGCTGCAAATGAGCAGTCACCCTCTTTTTAATAAAGGACGGAGACTGTGTGTCTTCCTTTTCCTGAATCTCAGGATAAGGTGTTGATGTAAAGGTGGTGCTGGAGCTGCCCAGTCCACTTGCGGTCTCAAGGTCAGACACCAAACTTCACATTGAGCTTGAGGTGACAGAAAAGCAGCAAATACAAAGAGACTAGAAGAGATATGACCATTTAGTTGGGAAGAATAAAGAAGAACATATAGTTTCCATAATCCACCTGTAGCAGCAGAGATAGAGAAATCAGCACACATAGGGGGAAAGTAGACTGGGTCCCAGAAGACCATGAAAGAGCAATGTCCTTGGGGCGCCATGGTCCCTGATGACTGGGCATGGCAGGGATCTCAGGTAAATGTTGGCAGCACAGGGATGAGTTATTTTAGAAGGATATGTACCCAGGGTTCAGGGATGTGATTTCAGGGGTGTAGAGAGTAAGAGAGACCTGAATGCTGGTGATAGCAATCCATGTTTATTAAGCAATCCCCCAAACTCCTAGTGTTTCTCAATTTGAAAAGACTTTGCCTAATTTAGCTACCATTCACTGAAGACTTGTCAGGCACTGTGCTAGGTCATTTATATTGTCTCATTCAATCCTTATAACAACATGAAATAAGGACTATTATTTTGTCTATTATTTAAGAGGAACATGACTTAGAGAAGCTAAGTAATTTGCTTAGTTAGTAAGTGATATTCCCAGAATCAATTCCCAGGTGTCTGACTCCAAAACCCATAGACTTGCTACCCAATCTTAGCTCCCCACTATGGGTTCTGTGTAGGCTTATTGAGATTCAGGAGTGATGCTCAGGTGAGTGAGTGGATTCTCCCAGGAGCTGGAGGAATCTTAAACACAAAACTCAGAATTTGTCTGCCTAAATTCACCAAGAACACAGCTGGGGAGAGCAGAGAGTCTCTACCTTAGGAAAAGGCTCTCACTCCTGTTCACTATTTGTTCTCCGTCATGCTCATCTCTTTGGCCCTTCTTCTGTTGTTGATTTAGACTATCCACCGGAATCCCCTCATTGCGCCTGCTCAACAATGTGTGGCCTATTCTCCCACTTGCTCTGTTCTCTCTGGTCTCCCTGATTTCTCAGATTGTCCTACAGTTACCCTGGCCTCAGATTCCAAGACCATGCATTGTTAGAGCAGGCGAGGAGGTGACATCCTGTGCAACTGTCCTTGCGATAAGGACACTGATCTCCACAAAAGTGAGGTGAGTTCATGGGGGGTGTTAGCAGAGCCGTGAGTAGAACCCGAGTCTCCCAGATGACTTTGGGATTCTCCATCAAATTCTGTGCCAGGAGAATTTGAAAGGGTCCCACACCTTTCTTCACTCAAGAGAAAACTAGTGACCCTGAACCCACCTCAGCTCCCTTCGGAATATTTCTTACCCAGTTTGCAGGGTGGAATGAAGTAGACCGTGTCATTGTTTTGGCTCACAGGATTGCTGGCTTCGCATCTGTAAAACTTGGAGGAGTTCTGAGGTATAACGGTGATATTAAGCACACCACCCTGGAGCCCTTCTGAAATGGGTCCTGAGTCCCCATACCAGGTGTAGTTAACAGACTGATTTCGGGCCGAACATGACAGGATCAGATAACACCTGTTGTTCATTTCCTGTGTCTTCTCGATTGTTATGTCAGGTTTAGGTACAGGATCTGAAAATGAGGACAGTGTTATAAGATGAGACATTGGATTTATGCATTTGTGGGGCATTTATGCTGTGAAGGTTTAGCTAAAGATGTACAAAGGAAGCTAGGAGTGACAAGTGCTGTGGGAATTGGAGTCATAGAGCAGAAGCCCCTCTAGAGGAAACTAGTGAGCAGCTTGGCCCTCTGGGAAGCTTCAGACTTGGAGAGGGTTAGGAGGAGGAGCTATGCACTCAGAAACAAAATGGGTTCATGACAGTCTGTGGACCAGAAAGAACAACAGAGTGTTGGCAGACAGATCTGCTAGGGTCAGGGCTGGTATCCCAACTACTTGAACTGCTCAGGGCCCCTTCCCTAGCAATGGCCCTTAGTTGACACCTTGGTCTGTCTGTCCTTCAAAGACTTTTGGACTCAGATTCAGCAGGAGTCCTGGGGTAAGAGATTCTGCCCTGCACATGGCAAGGCTCTTTTCTGGACTCTGGCAGAGCTACAGAGAAGAACCTCATGTAATCCCCAGCACCTGTCAGCAGCACTGTGTATGTTCACTTTGGTATCTCAGTGTCTAGGGCAGTGCCTGCCACATAGCAGGTATTCTAGAAGTATCTAATGAGTAGATGGATGGAGCAGTTGTAAGATAGAAAGGACAAAACACTAGCTCTGAACTGAGACCAGCCTGGACCCTGTACTTGGCTCTGGTGGAGTGACATTAGGCAAGATAATGGATGCCTTGAATTTCCTCCTCATTTGCAAAATGACATTGTCCCTGGGAAGGGGTTTTCTGCAGACTGTGTTATAAGCATGCTGAAGGTCACATCATCGCCACAGCTATGGTCCCGCTGCCAGACAGGCGAAAACATAATCCCAGGATCTGTCCCTTCCTGTGCTAGGGTCACTTCGCTTGAAGTTCTCTTGGGGTTTTTCACTCTGGTCAAGGGTAAACCATCTGCAGAGTCACATGTCACAGGATTTAAATGTGGCAGAGTCAGAGTTTGCCTGTGGGTTGTAAGCGTGTGGAGGGGCAGAGGGAGCTCTACCAGGCTGGTGTCCTGAACTCTAGACTCATCATCTCTCAGATTGCTCAACTCCCCTGCATGCTTCAGCTGATCAATTTTCATGCAATTCTCCCTCCACTTCCTGTGGTCTAGCTTCATGTCCTGCAGACCTTCCTTATTTCTCATGGTCAGCAGCACAGCCCTGGGCACTTTGTGGGTGGGATTTATTCAATCCACTGGGGTAATCTGGTTCCAAAATGCCCCCTTTGAGCTATCAGAAATTCCTGGGCTGGACTAAAGGACAATTCTTCTTCTAGACACATCCTGAGGGTCTTATCTTCAGGCAGATGGACTGAAGCCAAACTAGATAGTGGATTTTAAAATATTCAGAAATTTTGCAAGCTGGTTGCGAAACCATTAGTAACTTAGAACTGGCTGTGGTGGGAGTATTAACTACGCAAACTGGTAAGTGACACAAATTTGGAGTTGTTTTTTCTAAACACTACTATAAAAGACTTTGAATATTTCCTGTTCTCAGGACCTCCTGAATTGGTAGGCCATGTGACAAGGGAGAAGTGAGCAAGAAGAGGAATCTAGCCTCTTAGAACTGGAACTATCTGGCTGGTAGGATCTAAATATATACAACGTGTTTTATTTTCACTATTTTAGCATTTAAAAATTACCCACTTGGATTTTTATAGCATCCTAAAAGGTAGATGTCGTTATCCTTGTACTATGATGAGGAACTCAAGGCTCTGAGGTGCACACTTCTCCTGGATGTTTGCCCAGACTCTTTTCTCTAACTTCCTACCCCAGAAGGAACCATAGGTTATAAAGAGGGAACTAGTGAGCAGCTTGGCCCTCTGGGAAGCTTCAGACTGGGAGAGGTTTAGGAGGAGGAGCTATGCACTCAGAAACAAAATGGGTTCCTGACAGTCTGTGGACCAGAAAGAGCATCAGAGTGTTGGCAGACAGATCTGGTAGGGTCAGGTTTCTGCTTTATAACCTAACCCTTTTGGCCGTTAATATTTGGATCAGGCACACATACCTGAACCAAGTTGGGTTAATTAGCCTTTTACTTTCTCCCTCTTCTCTTCTTTATTTATCCATTTTATTTTCTCAGAGGGAAAAAGAAGGGAAAGGGTCAGTATGTATATTGGAAATGATAGATTGCAAATGACTAATGCATAGCAAAATCAGCCATCAAATAAGCAGTCCCCAATGATGGGGGTCACCAAAGCCCAAGGAGGCTCAGTCTCCTGCAGACAAAAATGTGGGGGAGGGATCAGGGAGAGAATAAATAAATACATGCTTTCTTGCCCTTGCTCCCCATAAATTTAAGGTTTCACACAAAGCTTTGGTTTCCAGCGGTAAAGATGGAGTTACATTCATCTGTCTCCTAAACAGTCTTGTCGCTACTTTGACATAAGTTTCTTGAACCTGAATAAAATTCCCAAGTGACTTGGATATACATTCATCTCCCCTTTCTTGGTCTCCCAACCCCACTTTCAAAATGGAAGGCCCCATTATTGCTCCTCTCTACTTGAACATTAGAGGTTAAAGTACTCCTGATCCATCTCCATATAGCAATCTAAGTGTTTGGCATTAATCACATATCAAGAAATGGTCTTGACTCAGGAGTTTGGGATCAAGGAATGGAGTATTCTTAGCTTCTTCAAGCTTTTTGCATATATATAACTTAAGAGTTGAGGACCCCAGCCAGTATGGCTCTGAGGTTGAGTGTTGATTTATGAACCAGGAGGTCATGGTTCCATTCCTGGTCAGGGCACATGCCCGGGTTGTGGGCTCAATCCCCAGTGTGGGGTGTGCAGGAGGCAGCCAATCAGTGATTCTCTTCCATCATTGATGTTTCTATATCTTTCTCCCTCTCCCTTCTTTTCTGAAATCAATTAAAAATATATATATTTTTAAAAGATTTGGGGAGACATTAACTGGGGGAGCTATTTTGTGGGGGTGGATAAAAGAGGAGTCAAGTTTTTAGGACAGAAGATCTGGTCCAAAATAGGAAACAGGGGAAGGATAATAAAAGGAGAGGATAGTTTATTCAATAACTATGTTTAAAAAACTGGACAGATACATGCAAAAGAACTGAAATTAGATCACCTACTTACATCATACATAACAATAACCTCAAAATGGATTAAAGACTTAAATGTAAAATTCAAAACCATAAAACTAGAAGAAAACATAGGCAAGATTTCAAATATTTCTCTATCAATATTTTTTTCTGACGTAGCTCCTCAGATGAGGGGAACAACATTAAAAAATTAAAAAGTGGTACTATATCAAACTAAAAAGTTTTTCACAGCAAGGGAAACTATCAACAAAATGACAAGACAACTTACTGAATGGGAGAAGATATTCACCCATGGTACATCTGATAACGGGTAAATATTCAAAATTTCTAAAGAACTCATACAACTCAACACCAGAAAACCAATCCAATTAAAACATGGGCAGAAGATCTAAATAGACATTTTTCCAAAAAGGATACACAGATGACCAATAGACGAATGAAAAGATGCTCAACATCACTAATCATTGGAGAAATACAAATCAAAACCACAATGACATACCACCTCACACCTGTCAGGAAAGCTATCATCAAATATCAACAAGCAACCAGTGTTGGTGAGGACTAGAGTAAAGAGAGCCCTCATGCACTATTGGTAGGAATGCAGACCAATGCAACCACTATAGAAAACAGAATGGAGTTTCCTCAAAAAATTGCAAATGGAACTATGGCCCAGCAATTCCCCTTCTAGATATATATCCAAAGAAACCCAAAACAATGATTTGAAAGAATATATCCACCCCTATGTTTATTGCAGCATTATTTACAATAGCCAAGATATGAAAGCAACCCATGTCTATCAATAGATGAGTGGATAAAAAAGTTGTGGTACATATATGTGATGGAATATTACTCGGCCATAAAGTAGAATGAAATCTTACCATTTGTGACAGCATGGATAGATCTAGAGGGTAGTATGCTCAGGAAATAAATCAGTCAGAGAAAGACAAATACCATATGATATCACATTTGTGGAATCTAAAGAACAAAATAAATGAGCAAATAAAATAGAAACACACTTATAGATATGGAAAACAAACTGACAGAGGCTAGTAGGGAGGGATGTTGGGGATGCGGACAATAGGTGATAGATTAAGAAGTACTAATTGGTAGTTACAACATAGGGAACATAGGTAATAACTATATATGGTGCCAGGTGGCACTTGAATTATCAGAGGGATCGCTTACTAACCTATATGAGTGTCTATCCGCTGGGCCAATACCTGAAATTAACATAAGGAGGTGTTGAATGTAAACTGTAATCAAAAAATAAAATTTAATATCTGGCCAGTTTGGCTCAGTGGATAGAGCGTTGGCCCGTAGACTGGAAGATCCTGGTTTTGATGTCGGTTAAGGGCCTATGCTTGGATTTCGAGCTCCATCCCCAGTAAGGGGTGTGGAGGAGGCAGCCGGTCAGTGATTCTCTCTCTTCATTGATGTTTCTATCTCTCTTTCCCTCTTCCAAATCAATAAAAATATCTTTTAAAAATAAAAAAGTAATAATAAAATAAAGGAAGCTTACTTTGCTTAAGCCCTAACTGGCTTGGCTCAGTGGATAGAGCACCATCCTGCGGACTCAAGGGTTCCCAGGTTCGATTGCGGTCAAGGGCATGTACCTTGGTTGCGGACACATTCCCAGTAGGAGGTGTGCAGGAGGCAGCTGATCGATGATTCTAACTCTCTATCCCTCTCCCTTCCTCTCTGTAAAAAAATCAATAAAATATAATTAAGCTCTGGCCTGTGTTTCTCCGTGGTTAGAACATCAGCCCACACACCGAAGGGTCTTGGGTTAGATTCCCAGTCAAAGGCACATACTTGGATTGGAGGTTTGGTTCCCCCCACACCAACAAGGTGCATGCGGGAGGCAACCAAACAATGTGTTTCTCTCACATTGTTCTCTCTCTCTCTCTCTCTTCTCTCTCTCTCTCTCTCTCTCTCTCTCTCTCTCTCTCTCTCTCTCTCCCTGCCCCTGTATCTGTCTCTCTCTCCTTTTCACTCACTAAAAATCAATGGAAAAAATATCCTGAGGTTAGAATAAATAAGTAAATATTGGAGAAGAAACCTGAAAGTGGCCCTGGCCGGTATTGCTCAATTGATTGAGCATAGTCCCATGCACCAAAGGTCACTGGTTGGATTCCCATTGGAGGCACATGTAGGAGGGAGTCCAATCAATGTTTCTCTCTCACATCAATGTTTTTATCTCTCTCTCTCTGTATATATATAAAAACACAAAAAACAAAACAACAAACAAAACAAAATACCTGAAAGTTTATTTTATTTATTTATTTATTTATTTATTTATTTAAATATATTTTATTGATTTTTTTTTTTACAGAGAAGAAGAGAGAGAGATAGAGAGCTAGAAACGTTGATGAGAGATAAACATCAACCATCTGCCTCTTGCACCCCCCCCACCGGGGATGTGCTTGCAACCAAGGTACATGCCCTTGACCAGAATTGAACCCGGGACCTTTCAGTCCACAGGCTGATGCTCTATCACTGAGCCAAACCGGTTTCGGCTGAAAGTTTAAAAAGTAGAAGAAAAAAAAAAAGTTGAAGTGCATAAGATGGGTCATCCACACAGCTTGTGCAGTTGGCAATCTGGAAAAGTGGGACAAGGAGCAGTTTTCCAAGGGACCAAATAAATAAATAAAATGGTATTGACCCAGAATGGGGATGGGAATGAGCTTAGGAGTAGCTGGTCTGCAACTAGTTTCCCAACCACCCCTTTGCCTATCATCACAACCCATTGCCTGGGACAGTTCTCAGAACCCTATCCCAAGAGTGGGTTATGAAGACAAAGGAAAAACCCTGCCTTGCCTGAGATGCCCTCCCAACTTTGTGAGTTGGGTCTATCAGTCTGGTCTCAAGCTTAATCTGTTTCACTCTGGCACAAGAAATGGTATTATTACATACCCTTCTTTAAAAGGAAAACGACTTCCCTATCCAGGTCACTTTTCAAGCTGGAACTTCTGGGGCTGAAGACTCAGATAGAGCATATAGGGAGGGGTGTCCCACAAAGCCCTCACATGCATTTGGATAGAGAGTGGTTGGAGATCCTTTGTCTCTCCACTCCCTGCCTACCCTCCAAGAGGGAAGAGGGGGAGATGCTGTGGACTCCAGACTGAGATACATAGCAGTGCCAGCTGCTCCCTACCCACCCTGTTTCTACTTTCTTCATCCCACCTGCTCACTGACATTTCCTGATCACAGAAGAATACCCCACGCACACTGTGGGCTCAATGCTGGGCCTCTGGGAACGGATCATTGCTACGGATCTCTTTCTCTTCCTCCTGTAAGTAGGCTGGCTTTCCCTGTGATCTGGGGGCCTGCTGGGCCTTCAGTGGACAGGAGGCCACCATATGGCCAATGCTCTGGCAGAAGTGGCCCATTGTGGGCTGGGGTGGCAGCTTACATTCCTTGGCATGATGGTCTAGACCTCCACAGTTGGAGCACCTGTCCCTTTGACTTGCACTTCTGCACGTTCTGCCCTCTTGGCCTCCTCTCACTCCCAATACAGGATACCCACCCAGAACTGGTGACTCAGTTCCAGGCAGAAGTAAGTTGGTGGACTTTATTATTATTATTATTATTATTATTATTATTATTATTTAATATGTTTTATTGATTTTTTACAGAGAGGAAGACGGTAGAGAGTCAGAAACATCCATGATAGAGAAACACCGATCAGCTGCCTCCTGCACACCCCCTACTGGGGATGTGCCCACAACCAAGGTACATGCCCTTGACCAGAATTGAACCTGGAACCCTTCAGTCCGCAGGCTGAAGCTCTGAGCAAAACCGGTTTTGGCCCTTTTTTATTATTTTTAAAAAATAAATACTTTTAAAGAGAGGAAGGAAGAGAGAAAGCGAAACATTGATTTGAGAGAAGAACATCAACTAGTTGCCTCATATATACACCCAACCCCTAACCTAGGTATGTGCCCCGATGGCCAGATAAAGAGCTTCACTAATAATAATAATAAAAAAAAGCTAAAGGAGTTCATCACCGCCAAACCAGAATTATATGAATTGCTGAAGGGGGTTCTTTCGGAAAAGAAAGTAAATAAAGATAAAAACTATGAACAACAAATACGTAACTATCAACAAGTCAATCTAAAAACCAAGGGAATTAAAAAAAAATCTGATGAACAATATTAACTGGTGAATATAATAGAATCAGATGTATGGAAGGGGAGTGAACTGACGATTCTCGGGGAAAAAGGGAGAGAGGAGTGTGGGAAGAGACTGAACATAAACTGTGCACCTATGGATGAGGACAATGGGGGGTGGGGAAAGGGCAGAAGGTGGGGTGGGAACCTGGTGGAGGGGAGCAATGGAGGGGGGTGGGTAATGAGGAATATTTGTAATAATATGAACAATAAAGATTTATTAAAAAAAAAAAGAAGAAGAAATTTACCTAATATGGGCACAGCAATGTTAAAATATTTCTCCAAGGTCACATAATTAGTAAATGGCCACAGTTTTTAACCCAGGAATGTCTGATTCCAGTAATAATGTCCTGGTCTTTATTCTACATATGCTGGAGCTATGAGGAGAAGTTGTTGGCCCATACATTCAGAAAGGTTAAAAACTCCCTCTCCTTAATATTCTACTCCATCCTTTATCTCTTCTATATTTTTCCTTAGGTCTGATAAAGTCTTTGTTCAAACATATTGCTAAAATGAGCTCAGAACTTATCGCAGGAGAAAATCAAGAGAATAGATAAGTAACCACCTCTATTGTTTTTCTTCCTTTCAAGTCTTAGACTCATTAACATCAGAAGAGGTGTTAAATGTCCCAAGACTATCAATTTGGACTCTGTCAGCCCAGGCTCATTCCCAAATAGAATTGGCTTCAGGAGAAATAAATTAAGCCTGTCCTGAGGTTTTTCTCTCCTCGTCCCAAGAGAGCCCCATGATTACCAGGAAGCCTCCCACTGGTCCATCCAGGGGCCCAGAATGGGGACTGGCCCCTGGGTTCCCCAAACTCACCAAACACTTGCAATGGGAAGCTCCATTCCTCTTCAAACGTAGACGGCAACGTCACCTTCAGGATGTAGGTGCTGCTGTCTTCTTCCTGGACATCATAGATGTGGAGTGTGCCATTTTGAAGATCAAGTGTGACTCTGTCCTTAAACTTAGTTTTGTAGTAGTTAGGAGTAGGCTGGTTGGTCTCCCATTCTAGAATTTTCTGGTTGGTAGTGTAAAACCAGGTGAGACGTAGGTAGTTCTTAGGCAAATTGGAGATTTGAAGACTCACATTGCTGCCAGAGAGCGCGAATTTTTTATCTGCTAATTGACCTGCTAGTGAGACAGTGAGACCCAACTTAGAGAAGGCAGAGATACCTGGGCTTGTAGGTCAGGGAAGAAGGAAGGAATTTCTGCTTACAGCCTGGACCTGAGAGGGCAGGGCGGGGCAAGGATAAACTCCTGACTCCACTGTGGGGCAGGGCAGAGCTATCCTCCATTTTGTGTAACTGGACCCTAGCCCTCACCCAACCAATCAGGGTCAGCCAAAGCAGTGACATCACCACCGGAGTAAAACTCCAGGGCTTGGCGAAATTTGCTCTCTTCCGCCATGCTGTCGGCGTGAGTGGGACAGAGCCCATGCTAGCATGGAAGAGGCTCTTTTGTTTATTGCATCGGACTCAGCTCCCTGGTGGTCCTTGGAGATCATGAAGTCTGGGCATAATAGACCCATGATCAGGAATTCCATGAAAGTTGGAGATTGGGAAGTGGGCTTGACGACAGGAAATGTTGCTTATAATCCATTCAGTTCTGCCTCAGGTGATAAAGATAAAGGACACTGAGGTTGGCTCAGCAGATTTTTCAAAATAAAATAATGACAAATCATCTCCTCTCTGGGCTTGTGTTCCCTAATGGTTCGATTAGTTTCCCAGCAGTAAGTGTGGAGAGAAACAAGGTTTAAAGTGGATGGAAGACATTGGTGGCAAAGCATAATAAAAGCGTGAACACATTTCAGTACCAATATTTTATGCTGCTTTGCTGGCTTTAGTGATACTGGTAGTTTTTGTAAGTTTTTTAAAACTTGTGACACACTGGGATTTCTTTCCTTATTCTAACTAAATTTATTTTTATTCTTATACATACAGTTTTGTTCTTTCTTATATGGGGGAACCCCAAATTGTATAAACCTCAGCTATAAAAACTCAGGTTTGGTTAAGTTGGAGAACAAAAAATGATACCTACAAGTAAAAGGAGGTCTGTTGACTCTTTTTGTAGGTGGGGAGAAGTAAATACTGTACATATATACATTAATTGACTTCAGTCAATGAAGGACTGCATATACACCAGTGGTCCATCTACATATATAGAAGCCAAATATGGACCCTGGGATGGGGTGGGAACCGGGTGGAGGGGTGCAGAGGGAAGTGGAGGGAAAAAGGGACATCTGTAATAATCTGAACAATAAAGATAAATCAATCATCAATCAATCATCCCCTGGAAACTCCCCTAAAATCTCCACCCTTAAAATCCTTAGGATTGAGGACCCAGTACCCTGTCTTCCAAGAAGCACACCCTCACCTTTCCCTTCCCTCTCTCCTACCCCCAGGCATTACCTTCCTCACTCCCAAGCTCCAAGGGCCCTTCCTTTACCTCCATAACATGTTTCCTAAGCCCATTTCTTCTACAAATTATTTTCCTATCTCTGTGATTTTTCTAAATAAATGTTCTCTTATAATTTGAGTCTTGACTCTGAATCCTTTCCTAGCCAGAACTCAAGTACTGTACCAAGGTCGCTGAACACCGTGCAGATCCGGTCTGACCCCACCCTATCTAACACCAGCTCGTTCCCTCCCACTGCTGCCAACACTTCCTTTTATTCAAAATTTGAAAACTACTAGTACTTCACAGAATGCAAACCACGGGACTAAAAGGGGGCCTACTTTCTTTTTTCTTTTTCTTTTTTTTTAAATATATTTTTATTGATTTTGTACAGAGAGGAAGGGAGAGAGATAGAAAGTTAGAAACACCAATGAGAGAGAGTCATCGATCGATCAGCTGCCTTTTGCACACCCCCTACTGGGGATATGCCTGCAACCATTGTACATGCCCTTGACCGGAATCGAACCTGGTACCTTTCGGTCCCCAAGCCGACACTCTATCCCACATGTGTCAAACACAAGGCCCGAGGGCCAAATCCGTCCCGCCAGGCCTTGCAATGTGGCCCGCACCGCGCTGTCATCACTGCACTCCGCTGCGTTCCATCACAATGACAGTTTATGACTGTTCAGTAAACCATTCGGCCCGCAATTTAGGCTGGATTTTAGATTTTGGCCCCTTCTCTGATTGAGTTCGACACCCCTACTGAGTCTATCCACTAAGCCAAACCGGTTTCAGCAGGGGGCCTACTTTCTTATGGTCCCCTGGAGAAAAGAGATAGAACTCAGGTTGAGTCACACCCCACGTCCTCTTTTCCGTCCCACCAGTGCACAGTTATAGGCAGACAATCTGTGGAAAATACCTTGAATCCTGGTCTCCAAGAAGCAATGAGGCAGTAGAAGCTGGAGAATTAGACACCACTTCAACCCTTCGGAGTCCATGCTTCTCTCCAGAGCTTCCGGTATGTGCAGTCTGGGTAGTGTTCAATGTACAGCCTGCGGTTAGAAAAAGAAAAACGACTTCCCTTCACGCTAGCTTATGGGTAAGGGCTTGAAAATAGGAAGTACTATAGGTTTACCTTCTTTACATCTGAGAACACAGTGGCAGTTTTAATTTTAGTTCATCTTTTTGATAGAATGGATTTATAATCTAATTGGAGGCCCAATGCATAACATTTGTGCATAGATAGGGCTCCTGGCGGCTTCCGGCCACCGGCCTGGGCCTCCCCTTGTTCTGCGCTGCCTTTTTGTGGTCCGCGCACGTCACAGAAAGTGGTTGAGCTCCCAGTCGGGTTCCTGGTTGATTGAGCTCCAGCCCCGAGGGGACAATTTGCCTTGTATTAGATAGGATAGATAGAGCAGCTGAATTAATCTGAAAAGTAATCATATTATCTTAAATCTTAGAACACAGATACTCTCGTGAATAGGGGATTAAGTTTTTCTTAAAGTTTCCTTTTCAAGGCCTGTGCAAAGCAATTGAAGTGGTGACTCAGCTGTGAATCCAGCAAACAGAACCGACAAGCATAGCCAGGCCAACCCACCAGGAGTTAAAACATCATCTCATCAACATCATCTCATCGCCTGGGGGTCCATAGCTGACATCAGTGGACCCCCAGGCCTGCATGTAGCTGCATTCCTTACCCTAGTCCCTTTCCCTTTAACCAGTGCACAATTATAGGCAACCTTTTGGGCCACATCCTGGACTTCTGTTTGTTTGTGGGTGCTCACTAGCAACCCCACCTGGCAGCCTTCTCAATAAATACCTAATATAATTCAATCCTGACTTCCTTATTGAACACAGCGACAAGCAGCCTGAACCCAACCGGGGAAAGGGGGTGTCTCAGGGTTTCCTGCTAACACTCTGTGGTTATTTGAGGTCTCTTGGGTATGCAGGTCTTCCCTGAGTTAGTCAGGTTAGCATGTGACCCTTTTTCACCCACACATCTCCCTTTTGATAATAAATCAACCCAAAGGATGAATTGATGATCAAACTTTGGTTGGATAATGGAGTCCCATGGTGCTAGGAAGGCTCATTCCCAGGAAGTCTCAGTGCTAGCATGTCTTGCTGAACAGAGTGGACCACTGGAGATGGGACAAGACCATAGCCTTAGATGGCATTCAAAGATGAATTACTATTATTCAAAATAAAAGGCAGGTAAATGAGAAGCAGTCATATCCTATATGTCTCTTTAAAAAAGTATTCTGAGTACTTGTAACTCTGAATTCCCTCTCCCAGGAGGTCATGGTTCAATTCCAGTCAGGACATATGCCCGGGATTGTGGGATCGATCCCGGTGTGGGGAGTGAGTGAGAAAGTTGATCAGTGATTCTCATCATTGATGTTTCTATCTCTCTCTTCCTCTCCCTTCCTCTCTGAAATCAATAAAAACATATTAAAAAACAAACAAACCATATCCTTGAGGGAGGATTAAAATATATTTATATATTAGCTAATTTTACTAGGGCTTACTAGAAGGTAGTCCTTGTGCTATTTTAATATGGATTATCTCATTTAATACTTACAATCATCTGGACTAAGAACTATGAATATTTCCATTCCCCAGATGAGAAAACTGAGGCATGGAACATTAAAGTCACCTTGCCCAAGGCCAAATTTTCCAGTCCATTGGGATTGGTGGAGGTTCTGCAATTATGGGAACAAGACCTGGGGTGCTTCGGACTCCTCTGCTCTCCTTCTGTCTGTCCTGCTTTTTACATTTCAGAACTTGTGAAACTGGGCTAGGTCAGCTCTAGACATCTGGGTAAATACCCAAACTCGATGCAACCTGCAAAACCCCCTTCTCTCTATTCTTTGTAGTCACTCTAGAATGGCTCTTTAGAGTTACAACCTGCTTTCATACCCATTGATAGTTTTGCTCCCACAATAACCCATGACATAGGCATGGGAAGGCAGTTTTATTCTAAGTTTACACGTGAAGAAATTATGAACCATAGGAGTGAGATGACTTGCAGTAGCAGATCATTCATTAAAACTACTCTGTGTCCTACCCAGTTTTGGCTTAGTGTAGGGGTGTCGAACTCAATCAGAGAAGGGGCCAAAATCTAAAATCCAGCCTAAATCGCGGGCCGAATGGTTTACTGAACAGTCATAAACTGACAATGTTAACCAGAAATGTGAATTTAAAATGAGTGGAACAATCTTTTCCTTAACAGTGCTGTTAACCAACTCACATGCTATCAAGGATTTGGCCCTCGGGCCTTGTGTTTGACACATGTGGCTTAGTGGATAGAGGGTCTCAGGTTCAATTCCAGTCAGGGGCACGTGCCTGAGTTGTGGGCTTGATCCCAGTAGGGGGCATGCAGGAGGCAGTTAATCACTGATTCTCTCTCATCAGTGATGTTTCTATCTCTCTCTCCTCTCCCTTCCTCTCTGAAATCCATAATTACACACACACACACACACACACACAATGGATGACACAAGTCGTGTTTGTGACAAATGAAAAGCAGCAGGTTCTGGTCCTGGGCTCTCCACCACTGTATTTGAGGTAGGTCTTTGGGTGTTTGGGTCAGTGTGTTGGGTATAGTCACATCACGCCCTGTTTTGGGCACAGAAAAAGGGTAACCTTCTTCCAGAGTCCCTTTTCCCAAAGACATGCAGCATGATTGGTGAGACTGGGAGAGAGAAGATGTGAGAGAAGGGCATAGAAACTAGTAGGTACACTAGAGATGTGAGGAATAATAATAGAAGAATGAAAAGTTTTATTTGCCTATGAGTTATTGCTTAGCCAATAACTCATAGGCAAATAACGAAACAGAAAATGACCATATGTGTGAATAGGCAAGATGGCTAAGCAGTTCTGGGCCTTTCCAGGGACATTTCTTTTTTCTTTAAAAAACAAACAAACGTATACATAAACACCCACAAACAGAAACAGAAATGATGAGAGAGAATCATTTATAGCTTTTCTCCTGCACGCTCCACCCTGGGGTCGGGCCTGCAACTTTTGAACCATAGGAGTGAGATGACTTGCAGTAGCAGATCCCACATTAAAACTACTCTGTGCCCTAACCCAGTTTTGTGCCCTGACTGAGAATAGAGCCATTGTTACAGAAAACCGAAGAAGAACAAAGCAATACTTAGATGAAGTTACATTTATTATGCGCGGGTCCAGAGGAAAATGTATCTCAAATTCTGGGCCCCCACAGGCAGTAACTCTCCCTATTTATATGATTTTACCTTCTTTGTCTCCTAAATATGGAGTGTTTCCAGCCCCTTTGCAAGTTTTTTTTTTAAAGTTATTTATTTATTTATTTATTTATTTATAATATATTTTATTGATTTTTCACAGAGTGGAAGGGAGAGGGATAGAGAGTTAGAAACGTCGATGAGAGAGAATCATCGATCAGCTACCTCTTGCACACCCCCTACTGGGGATGCGCCTGCAACCAAGGTACATGCCCTTGACCGGAATCAAACCCGGGACCTTTCAGTCCCCAGGCCGACGCTCTATCCACTGAGCCAAACCGGTCCCGGCTCCCTAATATATTTTAAGCAAAATTTGACAAAATTCTTAGACACCTCCAGGAGAATGTTGTACATCTTATTTCAACTTATTCTGAAATACTTATATTACTATAAAAAAAAAAAAAGTCCCTGGGCCCACCTGCTGTGTCTCAGTGGTTGAGCGCTGAGCAATGAACCAGGAGATTATGGTGAAGCATCCATCTTATATGAAAACTGCTCTTTGAAATTTTAACCCTGCTGATTGGCTTCTGTGAATTCTTGCTTGCTAAGACTACTCCCACTTCAGCAAGGCTATTGAACTTTCCCTAGACAAGTGCTGGTGCAGGCTAGGCCTCTGGTTGAGGTCTCAAGGCCCAGCACATATGGGCTCTTTAAGAACTTGCAAAGGGTGCCGAAACCGGTTTGGCTCAGTGGTAGAGCATCGGACTGAAAGGTCCCGGGTTCGATTCTGGTCAAGGGCATGTACCTTGGTTGCGGGCGCATCCCCAGTAGGGGGTGTGCAAGAGGCAGCTGATAGATGATTCTCTCTCATCGATGTTTCTAACTCTCTATCCCTCTCTCTTCTTCTCTGTGAAAAATCAATAAAATATCAATATGTTATAAATAAATAAATAAATAAATAATAAAAATATATTAGGGAGAAAGGCTTCAAAATGTTCTCATACTTTGCTAGCTTTAAATGTAAAGTTCTCTATTTCATATACTTTAATGTCATTCTTGGTGAATTTATGAAGAAAAATTTAAATGATGATTGAGTGCAAAAATAACATAAGAAAAAGGCCTGCTGTGCTTGCTGTATGCCCACTTCCACAGAACATACCTCAATTATAGTTGCTTTGAAAAAAGAAATAACTATTGAACAAGCTATTTTTAAAACCAGGTAAGTTGTACCAATACTACTATGTTTTAAAGCAGGGGTGGGGAACCTTTTTTCTACCAAGGACTATTTGGATATTTATAACATCATTTTCAGGCCATATAAAATGATTAACTTAAAAATTAGCCTGCTGTATTTGGTCAAACATTTAATTAACTCACCCCTAAGGCCTGGGCAGGGCCAGACAAAATGCTTTTGTGGGCCTTATATGGCCTGAGGGCCAGACAGTCCCCACCCCTGCTTTAAATGCAACAAGCATTTCTCACTTTGAGATGACACAGATTTTCTCCCTGAAATATACCATGTTTCCCCGAAAATAAGACATCCTCTGAAAATAAGACCTACTTACAGGTTTCCTTCTGAGTGAAATATAAGGCATCGCTCGGAAAATAAGGCCCCACCCAGGCTAAACATGAGAGATTTGGTCCACTGATTCTGAAAGATATGGAGTCACAAGAAATTCACCAGGAAATTCAGGAATTGGATTGTTATGATGATGTTCCAGAAGATGATGACATGATTGTCATTGAATAAATGAGTAAATTCTTGATACTGTAGGATTCACAGTTTGTCTGCTTTGTGTTGACAACCACCATACTACTGTACCCTATACAGATAA